TAATGAAAAACTGGAGTATCATTTAATCAGTTGATTGCTCACTCCTTGCCTAAACAAAAAAAAAAAAAATAAAGAAAGGGCCTCCAAAATACTTAAGATAATAATTCAGAAAAAGCGGAAGAAGTTAAATTAAAAAAAAAATGTAATATTTCATGATATTTGCAACTGTATTAAGAGAATACATCTAATACATTTGTATTTCTTCTTCTTCTTTATCATCCTCCTTAGTGCCTCTCAGCGTGGAGGTGTCCCTCCTCCCGATCCCAAGCCAGTGCTTTCATTGAATTGATAGACATCCCTTTCTTTTCACTAATCCTGGAGATGTGGTCCATCCATAACAATCTAGGTATTCCTCGAGGACGGCGTTCGGTTGGCCTGGCCTCAAAAAGCTTCTTTGGACCACGGTCCTCATCCATTCTTCATAGATGAACAAACCATCCCAACTGTCTCTTTTTGACTGTTTCCCTCAAAGCTGACACTCCCAGGTCTCCTCGTATCCTTTCATTCCTAACTCTGTCTCTCTTTTTTTTTGCCTGCTATTCTCCGGAGGTACTTCATTTCTGCAGCAGTAACTCTACACTAGTGTCTGACCAGCGGGATCCAGCTCTTACTTCCATAAATAACGGTAAGTAAGTATATATACTTAAAGATGTGTAATTTTACACTTTTCTCCACCACTTTGTTACATAGCTGGTAATATATGCTGTTAGGTTTCTTAATTCTGTTTGAGAGCTCTTGGGCCATTCTCCAGTTTCTCCTAAGCACTACTTCGAGATAAGTGTACTCCTGCGCTGTCTTCAAAGTTTCTCCTCCGCATCAAACCAATACTTCCTCCTCTTCACGACCACGTTGCATCATCTTGCTCTTTCCTACATTTAATATCATGTCCTTTGCTTCTAGCTCAGCCCCCACTCAGTAACTGCCTGCTGCATATTTTCTTTGTAGTCGGCAATGAGGACAATATCATCTGCGAAAACCATGACTTGAGGAACGATTGTTGTCCTCCGCTTGCATATTTTCAATATTTCATTCATAAATATTGTGATCAGGAAATTAATAAGGCTGTCACCCTATCTAACACCCCTTCTAATGGCGAAGGCTTCGGACATTCTTCCGTTAATTCTAACTACTCCTTTGGAGTCATGGTAGGTAGATTTCATGGCACTAATTAATTCTGTGGGAACATTTTTAGTAGAGTAAATTTGTACAAATGTATATAACGACGTGAAAACACTTGTTGAGAAACTACCCACTGGTAGAACTTTAATAATATGTCTACCTAGTCCTGTCATAAATACTGCTACAAGGAAATATATACAGATTTCAACAGGAAAATTATTTTTTTCAAAAACTTTATTTGAAAATAAAATGTACATCTATAGAGAGTAAAACAAAAAGGAAATTACTCAAAATGTTCCCCTTTTGCCTTGACAGAGGCATTTGATCTCCGTGGCCAGTCATCAATAGCAGTAGGCAGCACTTCTTGAGGAAAGCGCTCCATTGCTCGGACCAGAGATTGTTTGATGCATTCCACGTTAGGGTGTGTTCTGAGGTATGCCATCCTCTCCAGTTCGGACCAAAGCAGAAAATCTAGGAGGTTGGGATCAGGGCTTCCTGAGGGACAATCCAAGGCAGAAATGAACTATAGAATATTCTTTTGCAGCCACTGCTGTGTTGACCTGGCCTTGTGAGCTGGGACGGAATCCTGCTGGAAAACCCAATGGCTTTCCTCAAACAGAGTATCATTTAGAGGTTTGACAACAGGTTCCAAAATATCGTGATGGTTTTTAGCGGCTGTTTTGACTCATATTTCACAAAAATGAAGCTTTGTCTTGCTATGAAAGCAAACTCCCCACCAAACCATCACTGAGGAAGGGTAATGACCTCTTTCCACTCTTCCAATGACTTCCTGTTATTCTTTAGAGCTGTTTGCGTACACAAGATCATTTTTCTTCAATTATATAAAATTTCTCATAGCTAAACAAAATCTTTCGGTGGAGACCGTTGGTGTAACGGCCAAGAAGCACATTGCATTTATCTACTATAATATTCGTTATAGCACGCATCCTAAGGTCACTTTTTATTATGCGAGACATTGATCTGACAGAGATTCCCATTTCCAGAGACATGATTTGTTATTTTCGAATGGATTTTCTTCTGATTCGAGCAGCCACTGCTCTCACTGTATTTGCCGTTCTCACAGTACGGGGACATACAGATAGGGCCTCATTATATCTATTTATAGAGCGGTACACAAACATAAGGGTGATTCCCAAAGGTTTCAAAGTGTTGAAAATCTCTGTCCTACGTTTTCCAACTTTGTGTAACGTGATCACAGCTATTCGGTTTTATTTATCATCACACTCCATGTTAACTGAGCGAAAGAAAAATGTAAACTAATTGGGATAATTATCCAGACATGTAAAAAAGATATCCTGATAGAGCTAAGGATTATCTAAATAATATCTGAAGTTTGTTAAGGAAGGATAGGTATCTGAATGGGCGCCAGATCTGAAACATACGGAATATTAAGGTCATCATAGATGATTTTATTTGTAACAAAGGCACTGAAGTTAAAATATTTGAAAAGGAAAACAAAAATTAGATGATCAAATACCAAAATGAACATTTTTAGAAGATCATGACCGAAAAAAGGTGTTATTATATTGTCATTGCTTCACTAACATAAGTACTTAGATCGCATAATACAGAAATAAAGGTTATATATAATAAATAAAATACGGTACAGAGGTTTTTTATTTCTTCATATTTGAATGAAAATTCCAATTTTCACATTTATTTATTTTAAATCTTCATAGCATGTGTTCAAACTTATTAAAAATTAAAAAGTACACTTAGAGCTCGAGGTACATATAAGTTTTTATCAAATTATTTATATTTCTCTAAAACTCCGTGAATGGCTGCATCTTATTGCAACTTACAACTTTTTTTATTTACGAAAATTCTCAGAAGTGGGACGGCCTCCATCCCCAACTTATCAAAATAATTAGTTTACAAAGGCCAAACGGAATAATACTTTGTAGGCCACATTTTTTCTTGATTTCGTGATCAAATTATCTTACGACTCAATAGGAAAGGAGATGGGTCTTTATGGGTTTTTAGTCCCTCATTAAATTAATTAATTTAATGAGAAATTAAGATGAAGGCATTAAGTTTTAGACGGATGTTAATAATTTGATAAGAAAGGGGTCACTATTCTTTTTTTCTCAAAGTATTAGAACAATATTTTTTAATCTTATTTTTATTTATTGTTTGAAATTCATTAATTTTTTTGTTATTGAAAATTTACTATTCGCTAATATCATGAAAAAAAATAATGGAATACTATAACCAAAAAGCGATACTTAAATTTAACCGAAATAACATTAATTGAAACTATAGGTTATAAATTAAAACTGAGACTAATTAAGTGTTAAAAATTTAGCATGAAAATACTCATAAATTGATGATTAAAATTCGGAAAAAAATTATAGCTATAATTATTGTGTAGTCAATTTACAATTTACAACGAAGGATTAGTTAGCTAAATGTTTTCTGTCATTTATAATTAGATCTGTCTAGTGACATTATAAAATTATCGAGACGTTAAAAATAAATTAAATCGATAAATTTTTGTAACAATGAATTACAGTTTCGAAAACGAAAACTTCTTGAACTATGAATGAATGAATGAATAAATGTATATATTTTCTCAAAATTAAATAAAATAATTATCTTCATTTTATATATATATATATAAAATGAAGATAATAATAAAATGAATAATAAAATTAAGGATGTATCGCATAACTTATCGCTAAGCTATATTATATATTATATATTATTATATATATATATACAATAAATAAGCATGGACATTGTCTGCTTGGAATTAGCAGTATCTGTTGCTCTTGCTAGTAAAAAACAGTTCAGAACACATTTAAGAAAATATAAACAGAAAAAAAAGCACTAGAGTTAATTATTACTGTCAGAATTATTACATATAAACCACTAAAACTTAAATATCATACACAGACACACACACACACACACACACACACACACACACACACACACACACGCACGCACGCACGCACGCACGCACACACACACACACACACACACAGACACACATAATTAAATTCTTTTATCATGGATGCACTATACCTTAGTGATATGTTTGTAAACATGTATTCAGAGGGATTGCATTCAGATCCTCTTCATTTATCATATCAAGGAACTCATTATAAGTTAAAGCATTCTTTCCGAATATTTTATTCGAAATTCCCTCAGAACTGGGCATACTGCAATGAAGTGATAAATATTTTCTATTTGGTTCAACTTGCACAGAGAACAAATATGGCTGCCGATTCTATCTATTCTGCTATTTATTTGAAGTAATTCCCCTCTTACTTTTATAAAAAAATAAATAAATAAAAACAATGAAAAAAAAAGTTGAAAACTTCTAAATACATAAATATGTTTTAAAAAAAATCAAAAGAACCATTTTTTTGAGTCCACAGTCTTACAATAAAAGTAAAGATAAAAAATATAAAAGATAAAAAAAAGAAAAATAATAATAATAGGAATTCCATAAAAATGACAAAAATTATCTTCATTAATAAGACTTAAATCAGTTTAAATTTCGCCTTTTTTCCTAGAAATAATTTTTATTTTTTTATGAATATTTGTTCATTAACGATTTAAAAAAAATACTTATTTTATTATTTTACATACCATATTTTAATAATTTAATAGATAAATTTTATTTTAGTCATTTATTTCGTAGTAATTTGAATTTGAAGTTAATATTGTAAATAATAATTATAATTTTTTTTACTGTTATAAAATATATTTTACAATGTGTATTTCTATGCTGAATTTTATATTTATTTGGTTCTTTCTCAAAGTGGAAAGACTGAATCTAAAAGGATAATTCTTCGTAAACTTATGTTGAAAAACAAAGGACGTTCAAAGGAAATAAAAAAAAAAAACAATGGTTGGGAAAATGTATTTAAAATATATTTAGAATTTATCAGAAAAAAATGTAGTTAATGTACAGGGTACTAATACAAGATGAGGACTTCATACTGTTGAAAGCATCTTTCTTCTCCAGCAAATGGTACATAGAGGCACCTATGACTTTGATGTACCTACGAAATAAAAACAGGTTATAACATTTCACAGCTTACTTTAAAAAAATTGTAGTTAATATATATTCATATTAAAAATTAACTATAATTTATATCTATCTATCTATCTATCTATCTATCTATCTACTCTCTCTCTACTCTTTCTCTCTCACTCTCTCTATACATATATAAAATGAATTTATATATTTGTATTAAAAAATACGTATATTAAATAATTTTGAACTTTTGTATTTTTTTGGAACTCACTAATATTATCTAGTTAAAAAATAAATGTGGTTTATTGACTTATTATTAGATTTTTTTCTCGAATTAAAAATTTATATGAGCATACATTCAAACCTATATTAAATACTTTTGTTTATTTAAAAAAACATTTTATTTTTTGGAACTTACTAATATTTCCCAGAAAAAATAAAATCATTTTCTTGATTTATCAGTTATTTTTTCTCAAGTAAACATTTCAATGAGGGTAAAATGCAAGAAATTGTAATAATAGGTTGGAAGTTTGTTTTTACGTCAAACATGATTATTTTCACTTTATTAGGAAATGAACAATTTTATTTCTGTAATAAATAATTCTTTTAAATAATCAAAAAGCTCGCAAAGATATATTATGAATTAAACAATCCAAATTAAACTAAAGCCATGAGTCTTCGACACAGATAAGTGAACAGTATAGTTTATACACCTTTGACTTTTTTTTTTTTTTGTATTTATTAATTTGTTCTTCCTTTTTTATTTAATTTTACAAACACATTTTTGTATTATTATATTTCCAGTATGACTATATATATCCCCTCTCGTTCCTGCATCTTTCTAACCTTCCTCTCCTGTTTCCTTCAGTATGTTTTTGGATGGCTTGATGAGATGTCAGTAGCCAATTTTTTTTAACCTTTTTTAAATCTTCCTTGTTTTTTCTGACCCGATGATGCCTGAATTGGCAAAACGTTGCCATTTTAACTTGTATGTTAGAGATTCGTGGCTTTATTAGTTAGGATAGTAATAAATAATAATATACTGCAATTACCTTTCCTGGTGTCATGTATCCGTTGACGATTGTCCTACCGACGTACAAAGGTTCTCCTGTGGATGTTCTTCCAACTTGAATAGCTTGGGGTGGGATGTTGTCCAACTCCGTCGGTTTCCAAGCGATGTGGGAGCTGCAGAGAACCTATGGAACAATAAAACCCTATTTATTAAAGCTTGTTTGACTAAAACAATATATTTATACACAGTACAGCATAAAAAGACACAAAGTAACATCAACATTTTGTTAACTTTGGAATGTCCTTGTAATTTGTCGTGGCATTGTTTTTGATAGAAAAGCATGTGTTCTTGAAGGTGAGTATGTAAAGTTATGCTGACGACATTTCAAGGTACCTTTGTTATCGTCCAAATATGTTCGGTTGAAAGATTTGTAATTTGTTAATGTAGGCCTTTGTAGGTGCACCAAATATCCATGATGATTAGAATTTCCATTGAGGATAGAATATTTTAGTTATTTGTGAGATAATTTTTCCTTTTATTTTAGTGAAATTAAAGAGGGCTAACAACAAAATCTTGAATGTCTTCTTTGAGTATGAAACGTCAATTTGTAGTCCATCTTCACTTTCTTAGTTGTCAATCTTAAAGAATACAATTGTGCATTAAGATAGTGAATCTATTCCTGCTTCATTGATTACAGAAAAAAAAGAAGTCACAAGGTCAAGAAATAACAAATCACTTTAATGATAGAATAAGACATGGACTAATTTATTTTTATTTCATATTGTTCAATATTCCAATAATTATGATGTATAAATAATTGGTAAACAATTTTAGATTTAGCTCTTCAACCTTTTTTTTTTTTCTTTAGTAGAACCAATTGTGTAAATCTACGACCTGAATTAACTTCAACGAGGGGCAACTCAGATTATGTAAAAATAACCATGTTAAACTACAGTCTGAGCAGAAAAAATGAGAATATGATTTTGGATTAGATGATTCAATATCAGCTTCAATCATAACACACTATATAATGGAACACCTGGTACACAATTCCAATAAAACGAGTCTGGATTAGCTGGTTTGGCGAACAACCGCAGTGTTCCATTGCTGCTCATATTTCCTTTTGTATTACAATTTCATGACTTCGAATATAACTGAGAGAACTAAAAATGTGTAGTTATGTTTCATGTACTGCATAAAGAAGTACGATTTATACATATAGTATTTTGTCATAGAAGTATTCTTTACACCCATATGAGTGATTTGTGATATGCAAGAATGTTTTTTTTTTTTTTAGTAAATATGAACGTAATTTCATTAGAAATATTTCAATTAATGAATATTCACACATTCTTAACGAATTAGTACAAAAAATTTAAAATAAAGAATATTACAATTTCATTTAAAAATATGTTATTAATGCATGTTATCTTCATGAATTTAATATTATTATTAATGATATTATTAATAATTAATATTATCATTAAGTATTATTAATATTAATATTAGGTTGTTTTTTAAGTTCTCAATATTACCACTACGCTGAGTTAAAGGGGCTTTTCCCCTCCTTCAGAAGACAATATTTCCTAGGTACGTTCCTCTATCAAATCATCAACAACCATCGTCCTTCTTACGCCTACAACCTTCTCCAGTTCAAATCCTCAGTCCATTCCCTGTCCTCAAGATCTTGACCTTCTAATCTTTACATGCCTGCCCACAGATGTGCTTCATTCCAAAATTCCTTTATTGTTCGCTCTGTCAATTTCTGGAATTCCTTCCCTATCAAAATTCAACATTCCCCATCCATATCCACATTCAAAACCCTTCTATCCCAAAAACAGTCAGATAGTTGCTAAACATTCGAGCTGATTTTAATAGAGAATTTGATATATTTTTATTTTTTAATTCTTTATCATTTTCTTAAGAGTGTATACTGGTCTATCAGTGCAAATAGCTTTAAGTGTCTTGTCATAGTATTAATTGTTTTGTATATAGTTTCGTTTGTTTTGTATATAGAATGTTTTTTCGATTGATTTTATTTTGGCCAGATGTAATCTTTTTATTTTGTTCTATTTTGTTATTCTCAAGGGACTGTGTCCCAGAATAAAATTATTTTTCTATTCTATTCTATTCTATTCTATTATTGAATTTTCGTGATAATTACAAGATTTATTAATTATAATTTCATGCAATTATTTTTTAATATCACAATTTATTATGATATTTAATATTAAGAAGAATTCAGTTGAATGCTTTTTACAATACTGTATGGAATGTATTGGTACATAAATGTATAGATAGCGAGAACTAATTTTTACAACTTTCCAGTTGGGGTTGCAGAATTTAATTTTGAGGAGACTGGTCTCTAAAATATTATTCATTAGTATGTATTAATTTTGTCAATTTTTAAAAATAAAATTTAATTAATATTAATTTTTACAAATATTACAAAACGAAACAAATATTACAAATATTTCTATAATCATTCATTGGCTGGACTACAAATTTCAATCTGCATGTGCACCTCCCCCTTACTTTGTGGTGTTTAAAACAATAATCTCAGTTCTCAACAGATTAAAGTGGAATATTTACATCAATTCAAAAGATGATAAAACTTTTTTATGGAAGAAATTAAATATTAGCGAAGATTATGGAAATAAAATCTTTTAATAACCTTGCAGAATCACAAAGCAGAAACTCATGAAAAATATTTTAGAGAAACGATGGAAAGAGGAAAATCATTTTTTTTTTTTTTTAAATCTTTATGCACTGTAGAACTATACTTCACGTATTATATATATTTTTTTGCCTATTTTATTTACTAGCATTTTTACTTTTTTTTTATTACAATTAAATAATTTTGGTTAAATAATTTCTTATAATTTCACAATAAACCAGTATACTAGATGATTATATGTTTCATCACATTATGATTGTAACGTAACGTCATGAGTTTCCGAGTAAATAACATTGCTCCAGTTGAAAAAGCTATTAATATTCAACAGAAAGTGTTTAAGGACGTGAATACATTAGGAAACGTTTTGAGGACACAAAAGCACAACTGATTTTAATTTTTTGTGCTATTGTGTATCTGATTGCATAGACTAACATGTCTTGAAAAGAATTTGTATTTACATAAACCCAAAATTCCTAAATGTTCTAAAAATTTTTGTTGATAATCATAAAGTTTTAAAAACGAATCATTATCACTATTAGTATTTCATGTTCGAAGATATTATTTATAGAAGAGATATTTGTACAAACGTATATTTGAACCAATAATATTGAAAATAATTGAACCAGAAGTTCAATGCCGAAATCACCAACCCTCTCTATTGAAAAGATACAATAGAGATATGACAAGATCAAGATCGGTTCAAAACAATCCTTCTATGCACGTCTCGGACTTAACTCTGGTCATTCGTCCGTTTGTCTAGCGATAATTAAACATTCAGTGATTCCTTCTATACAATACTTTACATTGGTGGATCTAGGAGGTGGCTTCAGCCTGAGGCATCCCCAAAAATAGAAAAATAATTTGTTTTTCATGTGTCCATATTTGTTTAGGTGACAGATCCAAGATAAATATTTAAAAAAGGGCGGGATGGCCGAGCAAGCAAACGCGTGTGTAAAATACACCTTGCCCGGCAACCAGATAAACCGAAGACTAAGAGTTCAAATCCCATTGCCTGATTGACTTTCCAACTCTGGCATAATTCCACCGTCCTTTCCTTTGACTCGAGAAAACCTCATATAACCTTTGCGTTCTCCTCTTAATTTTCATACATATACAACCACTAAATGCAGGTGTGTCAAGAAAAAAATGTAATCTCTAGAAACATTATTGTTCTTGTAAATACCATTATTTACTTTCCTAGCGCAACGAGGTAAGGGAAGTATTGGAAGCGAGTAAAATTTACAATATTCTGTTATTAACATATGATTACGTTTAAGAGCAATTATTATTATTATTAATGGTTATTAGGTTGTAACAGAAAAAAAAAAAATCATTAACATAGAACCTGTTTTTTGTCTGCGCATCCACCGATGCCTTATCAAATTCATCAAAGAAATTGCACTGTAATCATTTCTCCGGTCGGTTTTTCAGGAAAACAAATCTAATTAATTTTTGTTTTGTTTGACATATTTAAGTTGGTTAAAATCTTCGTGTAACCAGATATATATATATATATATATATATATATATATATATATATATATATATATATATATATATATATTATTTGTTTTTAAAACTCTTTCAAAGATCACTTAAACCTCATTTTCTACTGGTAGTTTTTCTTTCAGGGCAATCAACGTTATTAAATAAATTTAAAAAAAGAATAAAACCTCCATGAAATTTAATATTGGATCTCGTACTGATCGCCGCAATGTAGTTTATTTCTTTTATTTATATTTACTGCATTAAAACATATACATGACTTTTATGTTATTATTATTATTATTATGTAGATCTTTATATATGTGTAGATGAATTCCTTTAATTTTCAGATAAAAGAATATTATTGAATCTTATGCACATTGGTTTTAAATTAAAGAAAATATAATGTTGATGAAAGGAGAATTATAATTAAAAGAAATAATATTATTTTCGTCTTGAGTAGAACGTTCTTGTACTAAAACTAATGTTGTAATCTTAAAACTAGTCAAGTTCGCTTCTTACTGACCTGGTACTCAGATTTGCTGAACTCCTGGCCGTTGTAGGAGACGAAGGCGCATCCATGGTTGGGGCACACCTTTGCCGGGAGGAGGTCACTCTCATGGTATGCCCTTCCAACGTACATCATCCCCCCGTCTTCGTCTTGGCCTCCCTTCACTGCTTCGTGTGGTACCATACCTCCAGAGCTATCCACCCAGTGGTGAGAGCCGATGATGTGGCTTGGTGGGATCCAACCGAGATTGTAAGACATTCTGAAAATAATTCAAAAATTAAATACTGCCTGTAGGTACCAATGTAAGTTTTATCCCAAAGTAACAATTAAAATTGTGAAGGTCTAATTTGAGTCAATGTTTATTAATGAATTACCAAACTGGCCAAACGATTGCTTAGTCAGATCTATAGTTACCTATAGTTTTTAACAGTGAAATCATTCATACAGTCATAACCAGCAACTTGCAAATTAATTGAGGTTTACAATAGGTAACGTTATTGAATACAAAAAAATCAAGCTTTTATTAAAATTTCTAAACTATCAGCTTTTCTACCACATTTTTTTTATTTATCTTTTGGTAAGTCAGGTCCTTTTTTTTAATACTTAGAACAAACTTAAAAATCACTGTCACTCAAATATATACAAATATGTAATATTATATGTAACTACTACGTCTGTTTTACAAATATTATTTAAACAATAGATTAAACTCGGACGAGGCTTTGGTTTATAAAAAGGTGTTTCTTTTGTTTTCCCTTCCCAACCTAGTAATTTTTTTAAAAAAGAATTTTTTTTACCGAAGTGGAAATCCTGGTTATATTGCCAGTAGAAACTTAAATTAGTACAGAATATCGTACTTTCTGACGGCAATTCCTTCTTGGTATTTTCCTTTTCCAAGTCTTCAGAACCAAAAATCCTCCCAACATCCGGGAATTTCTTACTCCACGTCCCTCTATCCTCTCTATCCACTCCCTTTAGATTTATATATCCCTCCCATAAAACCACTTTCTTTAGCATATCCTTCGTAATTCGTGCTAACTCTATTAGGAACTCCTTAACTATCTCCATACATCAAACCAAGTCAACGAATCCCTTCCAAGAACTCCTGTCCCTTCACCTACTATACATTTAAACTTCCTCAAGCTTGTAAGATTTTTTAGGTTATGTAATTATAATTGCTTGTAAACAGTGAATTTCATTTCATTTTTTTTTTTTTTTTAGTATTTTTTGTATGTAACTGTATTTTTCTTAGGATTCTATATATACATATATATTTGTATTACGCCAACATACCAGATTGATGTATATATTTTTAGAACTTCTGTTGTTAATCTAAGGGGACTTTTGTTCTAGAGTAAAATTATTTTTCATTTCATTTAAAATATTATTTGAGGTATGAACGATTTCGGTTGGACTATTTCAAGTTGAAGTTAACTTAGATGTAAGTTTGCGGATTAAGAGAGTCTTCGTTCTGGAACAAAGCTTCAGTAACCTATATGCGATAAACTATTCTTTATAAATAAGTTTATGTTAATTTAATTTAAGTTAATAATTAATAAGGCAAGGATTTTTTATTTATTAATTTTTACTTATATTTTATTATTGTTGTTTTGATATTGGGCACAAACGTTGAAAGGATAACCATTAACATCAACTTAAGATTTTTGTTTTGTCGCTAGTAGAAATAAGTTTACAATCGGAATCTAACAGAGTTCTTATAACTGTACAAAGACACCTATGTTTTTAAACGAAAATGCTTTAAGATAGTGTTTCATTTTTTTGTTCGGTATCAAACCATGAATTTCATGGTTAAGTGACAAGATAATAATTAACTTTCCAGTTTTGATTAACTTTTTAAATTAACTTTTTGATTCGAGGTTTTTCTTTTAGGTTCGTATGACGCTTTTAAATATTCGCACGAATGAAGAGATAATTTGTAAACATGTGAAGTGGTCAGAGTGATGTATTTACAGATTCACATTGCCATTCGTGTGGATATGAAAATGTAGTATTTTAGTAATAACTTCATGATTCTATTGCAATGATGTTTATAAATATATGTCAAAATATATTAGTTTAGTAAAATATATACATTAGATTGTATCATGGGTGATAAATATCCAGGAAGTAGCCATTTTAAATTTTTTATTGTATAACAATAAAAGTTTTAAAATGATTCCTCCTGAATACTTATCACCTATGATATATAGAACAGTCGCCTAGCTTCAATGAAATCGCGTCATTTCTTTGTTTAATGCTTAATCTAGATGACTAGTCGTCTGTGATATTCTAATCATTATTTAACAAATCAATAACTATGATTCACGTACCCTATGATTAATTCAACTATTACTCATTAATTATTCACACCAATAGGTATTAACATTCGCAAAGGTTATTTTACAGGAAAATCACACGGTTTTAAGTAGAGTCTTCTACAGTGCTCTCAAATAGTGATGGCATTTTTGGCTGATTTATGGATGAATGGATTTTTGTTCCATTCATTTTACGAGTTATACTTAATAATTAATAATACTTAAGGACAAACTTAATAATTACTATATTCGTGATCAGTATGCACATTCTCGTATATACTGTACATTGAATTAACTAAGCCAGTAAATTATTTATTTTATTTTATTTTTTTTCACGAACAGGCCTTAAAGACCACGCGAATACCATGAAGTTAATGCTACCTCTTCATCTATCTACTCTTCTCCCATATGCCCCTCATGAGCTCCGCGTGCTTATGTTTTCTCTCCTCAGACCACGCAACACCCTTTTTGGAGCGCTTCTTGCCCGCAAGAACCGTTATTCTCTTGAGCGCCTTCCTGTACTCATCCCTGTCTAAACAATCTTGGTCTCTTAGCCCCACTTGGTCCATATCATCCTTAATCTGTTTAAAATACCGGCTTAAATTCTTATGACTCTGGATGCGCTGAAAGATTTTATGGTTAAATCTTTCAGGATTCATCCTTATCATATGACCATAGAACCTCAGCCTTCCCACTCTAGCGTCAGTTTCTAGATCTGTTGTTACCTTATATATTTCTTCATTTGACCTCAAACTGTTTCCTTCAAGTGTTCTCCTAGGACCGTAGATTCTTCTGAGAATTCTTCTTTCTATTTTCAGAAGGCTTTCTAGACTGGGAAGATAAGAAGTTTCTGTTGCGTAGAGTACCACTGGCTTGACGACCGTGTTTATTTTTTGGTTTATTATTTTCAATAATCAACCATTGTGATCGACCAAAAAATTCAAAAACTTAATCCTCTCTCAAAATTTGAGGTTTCACGTTTCAGATGCGTAGAATTCGAAAAAAGAATAAAAAAGTTTTTGTCCGTCCGCCGTCCGCGTATTTTCTCCTAAACTATTGGACCGAATTTTTTTCAAATTTTGATATAAAATCAGAGTTCGCCCAAGGATGATCCTCCTCCATCGACATTACTATCCGCTTTTTACTTTTAAAATGGCGGGCGAAAAACCTGCGTTGCTGTAGACTGTAGCTCCTAAACGAATGTACCGACCGATTCAATGAAACTTCGCTAAAGTCATTTTCTCATTTAAATTTATCTATATAACATAATTAAAAAAAAAAGCTGGAAAAATGTTACTAGGGATGGTAAAATTAAATTCCTAATAACTCAAAAAGTTTATACTTTTTTGTTTATATTGTATATCGTTTTTTAAAAGTTTACGAAATTTCCTAAAAAACAAAAAATATTTGTTAAAAACGGACAATTAGAAGCAAAGATATGGTCTCCGTTTTATTTTTTATATATTCTACTCCAAATATTATATACTTTGTTTGGTTTTTAAATTTTGAATGTGTTACTGAAGTAATGTTGTTTTTTTTAGCATATTAATAATCATTAAAAAAAAAGTTTAGACCAATAATTGGAATCACCTTTTATTTATTTTTCTTTGTAACTAGGAAGGTAATTTTACTTTAGATGTATAATTGTTTGGAAATAATAAACCATTGTGAAATAATTTGCAGCGTTTTTTCTATCAAATAGTCAACTTCTAGCGTATAGTCAAACATGTATTTCGCCCGTGTGGAATTCTATCACATTTATGAATTTTCGCATAAACAAAACTACCAGATACCTAATCCGGAATGTTAAGAGATTACTGGGATATATATTAGAGTGAATAAGTAATGACTAATGCCTGCATTAATCATAAAATAAGTGAGTCGTGGTGATTGATAAGCCAAAATCTCAAATCAGAGCTAATTAAATTATTTTCACTACTTTTCAGCTAAAACTTCAGGCTCAAACTTAAAAAAAAAATATTCGTATATTTCTTTTAATATTATTTAACAAAAAATCAATAGATACGATTTTCCTCAAATTACTCTTTTAAGCTCATCAAAATGGCGAAACTATCGGGTAAAAGAATATCGCTAATGCCTGTAGAAAAGGTCGTACATGAATTTTTTTTTTTTTTTACAAAAAAACATAAAAATTGATTATTTCTTTATGATTTATTAGTATAATTTTATATTTTATTTCCCTCTATGTTCCATAGTAGTAGACTACGTGTCCCCTTCAGTACCAAAAAATAAGAATGAAAATTGTTACATACGACTTTTAGTATTAAAAAAAATGTTATTAAACATTTTTTTGTCACAGGACCGTTTTTGGAATAAAAAATGTAATTATTTTTGTCTTAGGAAATACATAATACAAAAGGCTAAAGAAAAAAGATAGGACGTTATCCAGAGAGCCTATGTTTCAATGTTAAGATATTTTTAAGGTAATATATTTTTAAAAATTGTGTACGTATTTTTGTAAACAATTTTTGGATATAAAAACTCTCACGAGCAGCGCTTTTTGATATCAAAGAAAGCAAGTTTAAAGACCCCGATTATTTGTAATATATGTTTTAATACCTTTCAATCAACGATGGAATTCGTTTATAAGCTAGACAATAAAAATTTTCCTTTAAAACACACAATTTATTTTTGTTTTACAGTAGATTTTTTTCTTTTGATTTTAACTGGGATTAACAATCCTATTATTTTCTTAGCGAACAACTTTCAAAAAACTTAAAAAATATCGTCGGATTTTATTTTATGGTATTTTCAAGCTTGTCTTCAGGGTTTGAAATTGATAATTAAAAAAAAAATCAAAATCAAATCCGATCAAAATGTTTATCTGGTACTTTTAAAAATTATTTGATTAATTTTACTAAGAGCGATTTTTATTTTTATACGTGATAAAAATATTATCCTGATGATTAGTTTTGAACAAATTTTTACAATTAATAATAGTATTAATTTTTTAGTAATAACTTTTTAAAACAAAATTAAAAAAAAAATTTCTCTAATCTTTATGATATATTTAGAGCCTGGGGTAGTATTTGGAGAATATCTGTGTCGACTATTGGTAACAGAACATTTTTATTTCCAAAATTCAGCAGAAATTATAGCTTACAAAAATAAAAATTGTATATATATATATATATACAGGTATCGCTTGTACAATTAAATAGATTTCAGAAATGTAATATTAACAAATGGTGTACATTAATAAGGTATAAATACATATTAATGTATTATTTATCTGTAAAAGTTGATTTTTATTTTCAGATTAACATTTTATTTTGCACAATTCAATTATTATTATTTATATAATGCTGTATTTACTCTGCGAGTAATAATTTTTTTTATTCGAATTAATAAACATCAATGATTGGTTTAAATTTTTATTTATAAATCAGTCATGACTTTTAAAAGTCAGGTATAATAATTATTACTTGATTTTGTGAAATAAATAAGTATCGATTTCAGACCCAGCTTGTCTTATTTTATTTTATTACCCATAATAAGATTTATTCATTCATACTTTTCATTAATTTATTTTAAATTAAATTCGTTCTTTTTCAGTAATTTCTTTTTCTTAATTTAATATGGTCGACTTGAATGCAGGGATGCGGGTTTCAAAACCCTAAAAAAATTTAATATATACTTTCTTAATGTTTTCGAGTACAGATGTCTTAATGTATGTTTAAAATTTTCTTATCGATTTATTGAATCTAGGATTAAAACTATGGCTTTATGGGAAGATAAGAGCGTCGAAAATAATTCGTGTCGTTCTAAGAAATGGTTTCCTGTAAAAGTTAAACAGACATCTTTACGTAATTCATTATTCTTAACACCGTGTCAAACCGATGCCTTTGTGACACTAACCAAGGACAAACCTGTCTAAAAAATAAGTCACTTCCACATAATTTTTGTTAAAGTGGTTTAAATTAGAAAACTTAACATATTACTTAAAAAATCAATATTATCCTATTTAAACAAATATAATAATTAAAATAAATCCAAAATAAATGTTTAAAAATAACCGAGATGTAATTAAATAATTATATATTTTTCTTCATTTCTAACAAATATCAATAAATATATATATATGAAAAAAGTAAGGAGAAAATTAGGCTTAAGATAAAAGTTATCAGTATGTTTTTATTATTGGTTATAAAAATGGATTATGTGTTGTTTAGAAGTCTGGGAATTAATAAGGAGTTTTAAAAACAAACGATATTTTATCCTGAGTAAAGAAATTTAACAAAACAATTTTATACGAATTAAATTTATTCTCTCGTCTTCATTTTTATTTAAAAAAAATATTAATATCGATTGAAATCTTGTTTTTCTCTTGTAGTATATTGAAAGTTCTTAACATTGTTAGAAAACATAACAGGACATATTACTTTATTTACAAGACCTTTAATGTTTTAATAAATTGGACGTTAAGAAGTAAACCGTCGATATGTAGAAGTTTGAACAGAATATCAATAAAATATATTTATATAATTATTTTTATTAAATAATTTTCATTTCAAGGAATAGGGAGGAAATAAATTAAATTTATCAGTGTAGCATTAATGAAAGTTTCAATTATGTCAACCTTAGAAATGAAAAAAAAAATGAAATTACTTTCGTTTTTTAAATTAATTAATTTTATTTTTTAAACATATCTAAACATAATGTTAAAAAATTGCAATATCATATGTTTTTAAATTAAATATAAAGTTTTACCTGAAATCTCTCTTGCTCCGCTGTTAGTTACTCTGTGCAGTATGATCTGTCGTCCTTCAATTTATCACCGGGTCCTCCCCACCACTCTTGTACACCTAGATTTCTATTAAATCGGTTATTTTTACTGATCGTGAGTCACTTTTTACCTATAGGATATTTCCAGTAACTCCTTTAAACTTTCAATAATTATCTATAGAAGATAAAGGACTTGTCAAATTAAAAAATATAGGTGCGGTTGGATGATAAATATAGGTAGGCATTTCTCCATCAATCCACACTTGGCGTCTATAATAATATTATATAATATTTATTTATACTTATGGGTAAATAATACAAATTTATGTTAATCATATTTAACTAATCCCGGTGAAAAGGTTTTATACTAACGAAATTAGGGAAATTGGATTTTCACGCAGAAATCGCTCACAACAATGTTATCTGTGTTCTAAATGAATTTGATTCGCATCAGTTAAAAATAAAGAAACTATCAGTGTGGCAGTAGTTCTAATTATTGAAAGTAATTGGTTTGAGAAGGTTCTAACTGCAATACATATATCTCATATATAGTAAAGAAAAAAAAAATGGAAATAGAGTTACTAGTGAAGGGAAAAAAAAGAAAGTATGGATGATATATTTTTTTTTTAACGAAATAGAGATTAAATGAAAAAAATAGATAAAGTCAAATATATCTAAACATTTTTTTAAAAGCAAAAATCATTATTTGTAATTTTTTCTAATTATTTATTGCTCTCTCCCTTCCTTGCCTTTCGACAAGGGTTCCATTTTATTGTATACAACAATAAAATTTCCTTTCCATTTCCTATTATGTTCCTTTGCTATTTCTATTCTGGAGTCCCCCGGGATTGAAATTGTTCACCCCAGATTGAGATTGTGAAATTCTCCATCTTACTCACGTATTGAAATGGGCAGCGCCTATTACTTCCTTCCACCCATTCATGAATGCCTCGTAGTATATGTAGTTATCTGCAGCTACGAGTTGAGGTTAATCTCCTTCGCTGATACAGTACATATCTCTATGCTCCTCATTAGCTTGGCTCTTAGTGCTTCAAACGCAGTACAGTTGGTGATGACATGTTCGGCAGTTTCTGGTACTCCATAACTGGAGTATAGGGGATCGATATCTTGTCAAAGACTATGTAAAATGGCATGGAAACCTCCATGTCCAGTGAGGAATTGAAAGACCAATTAGTCAGGTTTGACCCATCTGGCAGTTAGTCGAGCCTGGACTGTGGGAAAATACTTTCTTAAGGTAACGCTTTTGTTCCACTCTTCGACGGTAGCTTCCCTCAATGTTGATTTCCATCCATTCCATTACATCAATCCCCACGTGAAGGTCTTCTGGAACTCCCCCTGGTAGGCTTATTTAATCAAATCTTCCTACAGGAGGAGATCGAGAGTTATCTCTACTTCTAAGCACTGCACTGCCTTGAGTCACTGTATTATGCTCTGCAGACCCGCAACCGAGCAATCCTCTGGATAGATGCCGACTTGCTCTTCTTTCTGTTGGGAAACTGCAGGTACCATGAGGGGAATGCATACCTTAATATACCCAACTCGACTCCTTTGTAGACAGTCTTGGTCGCTGGGTATCTAAGGCCCCAGAACTCTCCACCGACATGACTGAGACAAAACTTTCTTCCAAATCTCATGCCAAGATAGGTTACCACCTCATTTGGAATAATCGTACCCTATTAATCTATATCTAGTTTGATTTAATGTTTAACCTTCAACGTGAACTTTTTAATTTACCTGGGATTGACAAATACTACCGGTCTTAGCTCTTGTGACGAAGTTGATAGAGTAGCCCAGCTATCTCCTGGAGTTCTGTTTTTCTCTCAGTAGTTTGATGGACAAGTCAGGGGCTTGGAGTTCCTTTGTCTGATTGTAAATGGTTTATATAGATATTTATGTATTTTTAAAAATTCAATTATCTTTTAAGTTATTTTATTTTTTGAATATACTCTCTGATTATTATTTAGTTGTTATTCTGCTTCTATTCCATTTTATGTTTTCTGTACACATAGTGTGAATGTATTCTTACCTCACTATAATTAGTGACTATGTGACAGAACATTTTATTACTCTTAGCAAACATTTCTCAGTAAAATGCTAAAAAAAGATCTGCCATGTGGATTAGAATTGATTCTTTTCTTTACCCATAATATGGAGTAGGGTGCAAAAATATTATAAAATCCTTATCAAACTCTAACACGATACCCACAATTTGAATTTTTAAGTATAAGTAATGAAATCAAATATTACCTTAATTTCAATTGCTAAGGGAAAATTGATGAAATTATTTCTGAACCATTAGAACAATAGTACTCAACTTTTCATCTATTTTAGGCCAAATCGGATGAGCTGTTGTTTAAGTATAGGCGAATAAAAGAAACTATGTTTGAGCATGTGTAAGCGTAAATAATAAATAGAATTCGATAAAATTGTTATGGGAGCATTTGAGTCGAAATATAGTATATAGTTGAAATACATAGAAATTTATTTCTGAAATATTTGATCGAAGTCGGAGCAAAGATTGGCGTTATGCCCTTCTCATGGATATGCTTAAAGAAATTCATACAGATTCGAAAACTTGAAGTCTAGAACATAAGATACTAGTTTTTAATTCTGAATCGTTTTGTAAATCGCTACCTTAAAACAGCTTCTCTACCTTGTTGTAGTAAGGAAGTAAAAAATACAATAAATAAAAATAAACGGTAAACAAAACAGTAGTCAAAATTTATTAAAATTTAAAATTTATTGAAATGTATGAATTTTAAAACAGAAATATATGTAACATAAGTTTTTAATTAAATAAGCAAGGCTTACCGGTAATCTCTGCTCTGCTATCACAGTATGATTTCCTTATTCTTCAATTTATTTACTGCTAAACTTGAAAATATTTTTTTTTTTAAATCGGCCATTTTTGCGTTTACCGATAGGATATTACCACTATCTTCTTTAAACTTTCCAAACTTATCTGTGGTAGATAAAAGGCTTCTCGATTTAAAAACAAAAAAATGCAGATAGGGTAGGATGATGTTTTTCAACAATCGTGGAATACAAAAGTACTAATGCGTTTCATCATATGAAAAAAAGGAACAAAAAATCAATTCACATACGATTAAGGAACACAGATTCTATTAACGGTTTTACATTTTTTCGAAAAAAATAATATTAAATGTGAAAAAATTAAAAGATTTAGGATATATTTAAAGCAAACGATTGCTCGTTAAAAATGATAAGCAAGTGACTGACATCTGGAATTCTTCACGACTTAGTTCTTGGTAGATGCTCTATGAATTCTGAACTCTACTGCGAACAGATGGAAAGATTGTACTCGAAGTTGTCAGAGCGTTATCCGTCTTTGATCAACCGAAAAGGAATTTTATTCCAACAAGATAATGGTCGTCCACACACTTCTCGTCGAACCAAAGAAAAAGTTTAAAGAACTTCATGGGTTCGAATTCCTGCTTCATCCACCATATAGTCCAGACCTCGTATCATCGGATTACTACTTATTTAGATCGATGGTCTATTTTTTTTTCAAGGACAAAAATTTGATTATTTTACGGAAGTTGAAATTCTGGGATCGAGCAATTGGCTAATCGCGGTAGATAACAATAGACTATATTTTGAGTATTAATTGTATTTTATATCAAATACGAATATTTGGTTGAAAAGCGGTCATTTTTTTTTCTTTTTTTATTCACTATTATATATATTTTTTAAAATAGTAATTATAGTGGGATAATAGGTCATGAACTGCACTTCAATAAACTAAAACAGCTTTTGTTTGTTCTATTTATTCAAAACGTTTCGATTCCGGTTTTTTTGAGATAATTAATGAAGGAATCCTCTTCAGTTTTTAAATTGAGCATCGTCACCCCAAGCTGTACAGCACGCTGGCAGCCGCAACAGTACTCAACAGTACTCTTCAAAATGTATGTTTTTCCTTTCTATTTTTATTTAGTTTCACTAACTAGTTAATAGTACAGGTTTTTTTTTTTTTTTGCGTCAGATGCTCCAAAATCAAAGATCAAAAATCGAAGACATCTCCAAAGAAAATGGCCAATTCAGCTTATCTCATTTATCAGAAAAAAAAAAGAAATATGCAGAATGAGTTTTAAAAACTGCTGGAAATTAAGCAAGGCAGTAGATTAAGTTGGGAAGTCATTCTCTTTTGTCTCAGAATTATACAATATTAATTTTCAGCGAAGATTGGAAGCCTCATCGTGCAACTAAAATTATCAGAACAAAGACACAAAATGAAAGGCACATTAAGCCAATGACAAATTGGAGTAAAAGTCTTTAACAGTTTTCCTGCATTATTTTGCATGTACACATCGAAACTCACGAAAATTTTCACTGGGCGTTTAAACCTCATTAGAGCACCCAACTTAAAAAACATGCACTGTGAAGAGTAATATCTTATCGTTTCTTTTATTTAATGGAATGCCTACCAGTTTAAGAAGATATACATTATTATTATCTCGTTTGCTTACCAACAAAACAGACAGTGTCACTAAAGTTGCAAGAAATTTCAAATTAATCTTAAACAGATCAATAGAAAAACAATGTGAAACATAGATTCTAACAACGGTTTTACATTTTGTAAGAAAAATAATATTGATTGTGAAGATAATTAAATTATTTTGGGTATATTTAAAGCAAACGATTCCCCGTTAAAAAAAGATTTTTTTCGAAATGAAAATTCATGACAATTTCATTAGATAACGCAGAACTTACCGTTGGTCGGAGGGCCTATTGTTAGTAAAGATATAATACTTAAAAATGTGCAATGTTAAGAAATTCAAAAACTGCACTCAAATAAAATTGATTCAACTGACCATATAATCCCAGAATTACATAAGGTGACTGTTGTTTACGAAATAATACCAAACATGTTTGAGTAATACAAAAGATATAAATGAGCAAGTTATTTATCGGATTCTGTCCATTGTTTGATGCACTGTCAACCTACAAAACAGCATCCATTCATTTATTATTTTTTTA